CATCGTATGGGACCAACTCCGGCAATGTGATAGGGATAAACGGCTTCATGCGAATTTCGTAACGGAGTCGGTCGGTAGAATATGCCTGGGGAGACGAAGCAGAAGGGAGCACGTTGTGCCGGGCCAGTACAACGTACAACGCATGGAGCGCAATGGCAAAGGCATCCACCGCAATGATGTGCGTGGTCAACCTCTCCAAAGCGTGGAAAGATCGGTGGAATGCAGATGCCTTTTGAGAGGAGCTTCCAGAGCGGTCGCCAGTAGACATCAAGTCACGTTTTCGTGCAGCCACAGTAAACGTGCGAATGCGATCAATGTGGCCGAGATGTGTAGAACAAACATGAGACAAATACCAGTACATGCCCGGTAATTCTTCCGGGGAGTAGATCGACAGCTCAAAGCCCATCTGGAGAATGAGTCGGAACTGTACAAGCTTCTGGTGATAAGCCCAGCTACTAAGTGGGAAGGACCAGGTTGGTTCGCCGCCTTGGAATTGCAGAGGCGGTTCCGCACTCAAAGTGCGGAGCTCGAGATCAATTTCTTCGGCCTGCGTTGGATCAGCGTTGGATCAGCATTAACATTTCAAATGGCGAAGAGATATGAAGCAAGACTGACCTCCATCTGCAGATTGTCCCAATCGACGAGGGTATGGCAGAGTGTTCGGCGCATGCGACACCTATTGAGACAGGCGCATCGCACAGTATCAACAAACGGCTGTGAAAGTTAGCAGAAGGGACGCATCATGATCTATATGTTCACTAACCTGGGCGAATCGCTTCATGAAACCATCCATCTTCTGGGCGATCTGGAACCTGGGATCGGACGGCACTTCCACTTCATCGGTGTTAGACTCGAGCAAAATATTGGCGGGTAAGACAAGTTCCGCAAGTTCATCATATAAAAACTCCTTTACTGGTACGGCACCGAGGATCGTCATGTTGCTGACAATCAATGCTTGGAGAAGACAACGAATATAAATTGAAGGTTGAGGTTTTCGAGAGAGCAAAGTCCATATCGCAGTCTGAAATACAAGTTAGAAGCAACACTAGACTCAAATTCAAGAGTACATACCTTGAAATTGCTGGGGCCAGTGTAATCAAGCATCTGCTGCATGTCTATCGCATCTTGGCACAGTCGTTTCAAATGTGCGAGCGCATCATCGGAGGTAATATTAACCATCGGACGAGGCGGCACTGTGCTAGCCAGCTTCCGTTGAATCTTCAAGCTGAAGGCATCTGGCACCGGTTTTCCCAGCGCGACTGTTTCTGTCAGAGGTTGAAGTTGAGCTATACATGAGGTGAAGTTTTCCGCAGATCTGGTCTCAAGAACTTCAATGTCCTGATGTAGTGCGGACAAAAACTCATGCCTAAACACTAGTCTGCAATGGATGGCATCTTTGAGCTTCTGGTCAATATCGGTCTGCTCGGCAACCCAAGCAACCGCCTGGTCCAGCAGACGGTGGAAGTGTGATATATCGAAGGCAGACAGGAGATTGCGGTTGTATAATTGACTGACGAAATCCTCTTCCTAATTCACGGATAGCATTAGTGATGGTCACAGAACCAATTTGCGAGCCAGTCCACTAACCTCATAATAATATTCAGTGGCCACTCGAACATGCACAAAATCGCAGGCTTTGACCAATGCAAGACAATAAGCTCTCAGGACGAGGTTGACTAAAGGAGAATCACTTGGTACACGGTCAAATCGAGCGTCATCCATGGTCCTCGGCACCGGCCACAATAATTTATCGAGATAGATTGACGTGAATAGCGTCTGCGACAGAGGATGTCCCTTATGCCACGCCACCTGCGATTAAATCAGCAACCTGTGTGTCTCCATATGGGCAAAGTCATCTCCCACCTCGTGGCACAGCAACTGGTCCATCAAGCCAACGACTTCCTCTGGTGTTAACGGCCGCCGTACGTCGTAGTCTTCTTCTAGCGCCTGCGCAAGATTTTCTCCGGGGGCTATGTAGCCGCTATCCATCTTCGAGTCCATAATCTGTGCGGGTTCGATCGTCGTCAGTTGCAATTCTCCTCGTACGTTTCACATCGGGTGGGAAAGCTGACGCACCTCCAATGCGCCCACAGCTTCAAACAGGGTGAAGTTCTCATCTTTCACGAGCTGCCCTGTATTTAGATCTAAAAGTATAGAGTATTAGACACTTGGCCGAAGCTCCTAGGGAGATATGCTTACTCGAGGCGGCTTTTGTAAATTCAGCGGTAATGTCGCGGGGTGCGGGCTGCGCAAACCGCGGACGGGGAACGCGAACTTCATTATTCGGCAACATCACGAAGAATCCCAAGTAATTCTCGCAGTGCTGGTTTTATTATATGAGTTCAAACAAGTATTGTGCTGTCGTACGTGTTTGAGAAATCGACGAATCGAGGGGGAGGCGGGGATGTGAGCGGAGGAAAAAGCGAGTCGGGAAGTTGACAGACAACCGGGCCCTAGAGGTGACGTGCAACCTCTGACCGTTTACGCCCCGGGCAGTATAAGAATTCTTACGGCAGTTTTAATTAACAGCTTATGCGAGGTGTGAAAACAAAGACGAGTGCGATTTCTAAGCTCTGCCCAACCAGACAGGCCGGTATTGCTACACATGTACATATTCAATGCCTCCCCCGGACCAAAAACTCGCTCAAGTCCGTCACACTCGGGCCCTGCATTTCTCCAAGCTCAATTCTCTCAGGGTATGGGTGAATAGCGCTTATTTCTCAGCAGCCTTGGCGAGGGCCTCGTTGTTGGCCTGGGCGAGGGACTTGACATCACCCTGCTTGCCGTTCTGTTCGTCGTAACATTGTCATCAGTCAAAATTCTGTAGCATAGAGCTCGGAAAGTTCACTAACCTCCCACTTGGCGAAACGGAGGTCCATCTGGCCGCGGCGTTCAGATGCGAGGCGAGGGCCATCCTTCAAGGAGCGGCGCACGGTGCGGGCGGCGATGGCCAGGTAGCGGTTGTAGCTAGGGTCGGGGTTAGCATTGACTTTGAAGACAATTCGTGAATGCGTACGTCAAACCGGCGGCTTTCCAGGCAGCAGTCATTTTGAAGAGAATGTGGGAGGTATGGTTCGATTGAAGGGGTGAAAACGGTTCGGGTGAGTTTGGAAGCGTTCGACTTCGGAGGATCGGGATGTCGGGATCACGTGCAGAGGTATCTACCTCAGGAAGGCGGTGAAGAACACAGCGGTCAGGATTTGCTCGTTTTGAGTGTTTGGTGACCAGAGGTCACGTGCACTGTAACAGTATTTGGCCGACAGGAATATTAATCCGGTGTAGATTGATAAGCGCATATCGCGTTTGTAGTCACGTGACCGGCGTTTATTTTGACCACATCCCTCGTGTAATGAACACCATATAACTAACAATAACGCGCCACACCATGCTCTTTAGTCCCACAGCATTTAATCCATAAAGTTATACTCACTATGTATAATATCATTATCAATCACTTCAATTGAAGGATTTATTTATTTTTCGGGGTTGGTCGAGTGCAGAAGAGTTGCTGCGAAGTTATTTAGATCGTTCGTGAGATACGTATTTTGACGACATCCCTTATACTGAAAACACTATATAATGCGACATACTATGTTCTCCGCCCCCACAACGTTCAATTTATGAAGTTATAACTGGTATGTGCCATTGGCACATCCATCATTGCATTCCGTGATTTTCGTTTCTTTTTTCGAGGCTGGTGGGGTGCAGAAGGGTTGCTGCGAAGTTATATAGATCGTTCGTCCCAAGAGCAGCAAAACGCGTATTGTCGCCGTATTATATCCAAATTTCACAACCCCAATGCGTCTTCAGCAACCTCGAAGTTCTAAAGCAGATGAATTGTCAGCACAAGTAAACAGAATTGTAGACTCCAAGCAGCAGGGCTTGCCGTGCATAAGGAAGTATTCAATATGCCTCCTTGGAGTGCGGGGTATACCTTGCTCCGATTTGCGTCAACCATCCGCATAGAATACGTGTGGTCAACCTCGAAGCTAAGAGCCAAAGAAGCACACCGAAGGCAACACCGAGCAGTATTTCAAGGCGGTCCGTTGCTCAAGAGCATTTGCCATCCCCCACCACTTCTTTCGGTCACCACTTCTCTCACTTACCTTTCAATCTCATCAACCTCCGTCCATCTGCCATCGTCCACAACATTCCCCATATTTTCTGCTTTCATACCAAAGCATCTTGAGTCGACAGTGCTTCTTTATCGTATCCACCAGGTGAGTAACCCAGCCTTGTGCTGGTGATGGTCCATAGGTTTCCCCTGGCACATCCCCACTTCCTACCATAAGGCTTTTGCATCTGTGCAGCATGGGCATGAGGTCCTGTGGCACACTGCGATCGCTGGAACCCCACAATTCCATTCAATAACTAGGGCATCTGGGTTGCAGTGGCACCCAGTGACCTCGTTGAGGATTGGGTCTTGCACATAACGTCCAACATCTGCTAGGCTCATGCAATTGCATGCCCTCTGGGCACTTGCATCAGACCAATAATGTTCTGATGTCTTGACTGGTACTTGATGTCGACATTGCACAAGACATCATTGGGGTATATGACCCCAATTGCTGTGAGCCTGGGCACCCTGAACAGCTTCTTTTGGCTATGCCCTAGGATCCTGCAGTCATGGTTAGCCTTGTCGCTCTTTGCATATTTGTCTCAACATACCTTGTTTGGACAGCGGTCAGTCTCCTACTCCAGCCAAATGCACGCTTCAAAGCCATTCGACGTTGAGAACATTGTGTGCTTTCCTTGGGCTTGGTCCATCATGATCCTTTGTTTCTATGCATCCCTGTCTGCAGAGAAGACATTCTCGAATGCCGTATCTTATTCCTGCTTCGGAATTTGGCAGCAATGCATCAACACACTGGTCATACCCAGTCACCTGCTTCACGCCCCGTCCATACATCCCCAATTCATTTTGTTTGTTATCAATCTGTGAACACAATTGCTAATGGTGATGTCGTGCAAAAGGATATAAAGGAATCGTCACCCCCAACATGCCGCCGACGAGGAAGAAAGCCGGCGGCCGAAAGCGCGACAATGAGGCGGACCTTGCTGAGCTCGAAAGGCTCCGGAAGCAAGTTGCCGAACAGAGCAAGGCCTTAGAGGCTGAAGAGGCCCGCAAGGAAGAAGAGAGCCAGGCCAAGCGTCAAGTCAGCAGTCGGCGCCAACGCACACTAGTTCGCTGGGATGGTATGGTTTTTCTTTTGTTTTTCTTTTGATTCCCAATCTTGTTTCAGCCTTTCTGTTTGTTGAGGTCATTGGGGATGTTGTCAAACCTGGGAACATCCATGGATAGATAGACTGTTGTCACAGTGACTTGCATTGACGAAAATCTTTGAATTATGCTGACGTTTGACTGAAACAGTGGATACCGACATTCGTCTTCTACTGGCCATCCAGTATGCCTGCAATAAATCCAGCATCAAGATTCCCTGGAAGGATGTCGCGGAGGTTATGGGAGAGAAGTTCACGGAGGGTGCAATCGTTCAGCATTTGTCAAAGCTTCGTACCAAGCGGGAGGAGCAGGATAAGCCAAATCCGCCTCCACTGAAGCGTGCAGGAAATGGCCACCACAAGACCGACGCAAGCAACAAGAAGGAGGCGCCTGCAAAGGCGGACCCTGCGCCGAGCACTCGCAATGCAAAGCGCCGTCGCCGTGATCAATCCGATTATGAATCCGATTATGAATCCGAAAACAGTGTGTACGCCTTGAAGAAAAAGCAGTTTGCGAAGAGCAAGAAGAAGGACAAGGTCTTTGTTGCTCCCAAGCTGCGTACCAAGCGCGAAGAAACCGACAGTGATGACTCACAAAAGCTGGTGTGTGTTGGAGCTGAATGGCTGCGTGACTTCGACGGTGACGATGACCGCGAGGATGACGACGAATCTTCTATTTCTGAGGAGAACGAGAACTCCACTGAAAGCAGCCAGGCCACTACTCAAGCCACCAAGAAGTCAAAGATGGTGAAACTCAAGCTGAACCGAGAGGAATTCGCAAATTGGGAGCGCCGCCTTAGTGACTCTGCAACTTCCCGAGAGCCAGTGACCCCAACCAACCCGCCGCACGTTACCGCCAACATGGCACCCCGCGGTCCAGCCTACTATCCTTACATGCATGCCGACTCTACTGCTCCATATTCTCCTATTATGGCCACCCCATTCGCAAACAACTCTGGAGCTTCCATCCCCTACCCGTCCAATGGTCCAAGCCCATTCGACATTGTCAACCGTGTTCCTAACGGAATTTCTGATGCTGGTCCTGCCGCTGCTCCCAGCGCGGTCTCTGGTGAAGTCTCTGCTTTTGATGAAATGAATCTTGCAGCGGCGTATTCCCAGTTTGATATGGCCCCTGAAATGCAATTTGCGGACCAGTTTGGCGCTCAAGGCAATTTCCCGATGACCGGCTACACCGAAACCAGTGGTTTTGAGAACCAGTTCATTTCTGACAGTGAACTATTTGCCAACCTTCCAAACGTTGAGCCACCTCGATATCTTGGGTATGACGGTGAAGATACCAAGGAATTTTAATTTCCTGGATCGTTCATCATGGTGCTGGGTTCATTTGATGCTTCTCCAATGCTTTTTCTTTTCGTTTTTTCGCTTTCTTTGACTTTTTTCTGCGTTCTTTTTTGCTTTGCTTCGCTTTCGTTTTTTGCTTTCCGTTTTTGCTTTTTGCTTTTGCTTTTCGTTTTGTGCTTTTCCCGCTGGTTGATTGGAGGAGGGAGGTGAGTCCTGATCCCAATCAACGGGTACAACTCCGGATAATCATTCTTGCGTGGCATGGAGTCACGCGATTATCCCGAGTTGCACCCCAGCGCTTCTTTCATGCGTTGCTCGTTGGCCCCCTACGGGGGGCCCAGTAGTTAGTTACTTCTGTCGGAAATCACCGGTACAGCAATGTATGTTCAAAATGACAGATGTGTATGACTCTAACTAACTAAAATGACAAGAATCCCCTATTTGACAATTTGCTGGGGCATAACTGACTAAGCTTAATATGCAATTTGTATGGGGCCCACTATCATAGCGGTCCATGTATTTTCCGAGGTGTTGAATACTCGGGTTCCCAGTCATGTATTGTAACATAGCTTTCGACAACTTCAATAAGAGCATATCGCAACATCTTTTTTCCTATATTGTAGACTACTAGGAGGATTTTCACTAATTTATTGTGATCCAATAGGGAGGTCAGAATAAAGTGATATGAAATTTATGGTAATATTCCTAAATCGATCTTTGATTGTAAGAGCGTTTAGAGGGCGCGCGTAGTGTAGACATTAGTATGCGGACTTGCACCCATCATTTGCGTATCATTTGCGGCAGTTAGCAGCAGATTATTGATATAAGGCCGTGAAATTGAATTTAGGGCCAATTGAAGAGATAGATAGAGCTTACATATGAAAATGCATACATAAAGACCAAGAAAGAAAAGTAAAGATAATAAAAGTGAAGCCGCTAATTCGCCAATGTATGGGGGTTTGCCGAAAGCCGGGATACGGGTATATGAAGCTTCCCGAGGTATAAACATCAGCTTAAGTCTACATATAAATCTAGTTAACAATGAAAATACTCTTACTTGTATAATCTATGCATATGAGCTAAAGTATCCAAACTACATATTTCAGCGCATTCTTTAGATAATAACAAGCTACAACACTTATCTAATACCATAAGATCTATATTATTTCAAGAGCCGATTTAGGTCCGTTCTTCCGGCTCACGTGACGGTTCTAGCTGTTTCTGCCGCCAAGCTCTGGGGATGAAGGAAGCGCCTAGAAAATTTTCGAGACTTTGGCTTCATCTCTCCCCCAGCTTTCTCCATCTCTTTCTTTTCCCCCCTTCAAACCCCTTTATCTCTCCTGGGTTGTTGTATTTCTCTCTTCTTTTAATTCTTTTAATCTCGTTGTTCCTAGCCATGCAGCGTGCTCTCTCTACCCGGACCTCCCTCCTGTCGGCCGCTTCCAAGCGTGCCCCTTTAGGTCGCTCGACTTTGAACCTCCAGCAGCAGCGTTTTGCTCACAAGGTGCGTTGGATTGCCAATTGTTCGCAGAATCATCTTGCTTTGCCATTGGCCCCGTGTTCCGTCCATTCCGAAGCCTTTGGTCGTTCCCCTTGGCTAACAACAACTAGGAGATCAAGTTCGGCGTTGAAGCCCGTGCCAGCCTCCTCAAGGGTGTTGACACTCTTGCTAAGGCTGTCACCTCCACACTCGGTCCCAAGGGTCGCAATGTCCTGATCGACTCCCCCTACGGTTCCCCCAAGATCACCAAGGGTAAGATTTCCATCAAGACAAACACATGGTCATTCGCAAAAGACTAACAATTCCGCAGACGGTGTATCTGTCGCCAAGGCCATCCAGCTTCAGGACAAGTTCGAGAACCTCGGTGCCCGCCTCATCCAGGATGTTGCCTCCAAGACCAACGAGGTTGCTGGTGACGGTACCACTACCGCCACTGTCCTCTCCCGCGCCATTTTCTCCGAGACCGTCAAGAACGTTGCCGCTGGCTGCAACCCTATGGATCTCCGCCGCGGTATCCAGGCTGCCGTTGAGGCCGCTGTGGAATACCTCCAGGCTAACGCCCGCCCTATCACCACCGGCGAGGAGATCGCCCAGGTCGCTACCATCTCCGCCAACGGTGACACCCACGTCGGCAAGCTCATCTCCACCGCCATGGAGCGTGTTGGCAAGGAGGGTGTTATCACCGTGAAGGAGGGCAAGACTCTGGATGACGAGCTCGAGGTCACCGAGGGTATGCGCTTCGACCGTGGCTACACCTCCCCTTACTTCATCACCGACCCCAAGTCTCAGAAGGTCGAGTTCGAGAAGCCCCTGATCCTGCTCTCCGAGAAGAAGATCTCCGCCGTCCAGGACATTCTCCCCGCCCTTGAGGCCTCCACCACTCTCCGCCGCCCTCTGGTCATCATTGCCGAGGACATTGAGGGTGAGGCTCTCGCCGTCTGCATTCTGAACAAGCTCCGTGGTCAGCTCCAGGTCGCCGCTGTCAAGGCCCCCGGCTTCGGTGACAACCGCAAGAGCATTCTTGGTGATCTCGCTGTCCTCACCAACGGTACCGTCTTCACTGATGAGCTCGACATCAAGCTCGAGAAGCTCACCCCTGAGATGCTCGGCTCCACCGGTGCCATCACCATCACCAAGGAGGACACCATCATCCTCAACGGTGAGGGTAGCAAGGACAACATCTCCCAGCGCTGCGAGCAGATCCGCGGTGTCATGGCCGACCCCACCACCTCCGAGTACGAGAAGGAGAAGCTGCAGGAGCGTCTGGCCAAGCTCTCCGGTGGTGTCGCCGTCATCAAGGTCGGTGGTTCCTCCGAGGTTGAGGTCGGTGAGAAGAAGGACCGTGTTGTGGACGCCCTTAACGCCACCCGCGCTGCCGTTGAGGAGGGTATCCTCCCCGGTGGTGGTACCGCTCTGCTCAAGGCCTCCGCCAACGGCCTGGGTGGTGTCAAGCCCGCCAACTTCGACCAGCAGCTTGGTGTCAGCATCATCAAGAGCGCCATCTGCCGCCCTGCCCGCACCATTGTTGAGAACGCCGGACTCGAGGGTTCCGTCATTGTCGGCAAGCTGACCGACGAGTACGCCAAGGACTTCAACCGCGGATTCGACAGTGCCACTGGCCAATACGTTGACATGATTGCTGCCGGTATCGTTGATCCCCTGAAGGTTGTCCGCACCGCTCTGCTTGATGCCAGCGGTGTTGCCTCCCTCCTCGGTACCACCGAGGTCGCCATTGTCGATGCTCCCGAGGAGAAGGGCCCTGCCCCTCCCGGTGGTGGTATGGGCGGTATGGGCGGTATGGGTGGCATGGGCGGCGGCATGTTCTAAAGCCCCTGACCCTCTTCCCCTGAAGAATTACCTCGAGCGCTCCTCTTTGCATCGTAGCCTGTTCTGATACTCGGATATTTGTGTAATGTCTTTTCTTTGTGTCTCTATTTGGTGTTTTGTCTTTTTTTTCATGTTTCTTTCCATACCTGTATTCTTTTGGACTTTTTTTTTCTGATCTCTTACTCTCTCCCTCTCTCCTCTCTTCCTGGGACTTGACCCCAAAAAAAAGGTTCCACTGTACTATATCATGTATTCCAATGAAGTCCCATCTGATACAGCCTGAATTATGCCTTTTCTCTTAATTTTTAAAATTTCCGGGCTAACTTTCTGAGGGTCTCCATCCAAGGTACTTTATATTTGGGGGATCGACAATGTCTCCTCTTTATAAAGTTCAAATGTACTTCGGTAGATATATTGAACCTCCTAACCTCGACAAAAGATACTAGTACATGTACTATGTACTCCGCACGGGGTACAAACATTCCATCTTCTCACTTAAATTGGAATTGCAACTGATTGGCCATTCGGGTCGGCTATTCGTGCAATTTATAGAGACATACCCAAAAAGGGTCTAGACTGAGGCAAAGGACGAATACAACTTCAGACGGTCATCACCTGGGAATGATATATGCAACGATGGGTACTAACAGGGATAAATTAATATATTAACCATTCTGCTCGTCAATCCAAGTCCAATCTAAGCGGGTGGGACCGGCAAATGACCTTAGAAACCGTCTGTAACTTGTTTTCTTTCTCTCTTCCCCACGGCTCTTTACTCCGCTTATTTCTCTCCGCCTGGTCCTTTTCCCTCTCCAGATCATTCCGGCATTCCAGTCCTGCATTTCTGTGCTCTTTGCACCTGACTTGGATTCACTTCGTAATTTCGTTATCATCGTGGAATACTTTGGCTATCGGGAATGCATACGGCGCTTGTGGGGCATCGTGTTGGCACTTTCGTCGCCCGTCACCATACGTGCGGCTATGACACCCTCCTTGGTACTCTGGTCTATCGCTAACTCGCCTCTAGAGTCACTGCACGCCTTGGAAGCCTTGAGCAGATTTGAATCAAAAATAGAACCTGATTGCTGCCGACAATGGCTGCCATGGTGGATACCGCTCGGCCAGCCCTAGTGAGCGATGCAGATCTTATGCAAGCACGAGCAGCTCTCCAGCATCAGCAGAGCCCAGAAGTCTCCGTTCCCCGTGAATTCATCTCCCTCATCGTCGACGAACTTATTTACCGCCGCGAGTCGCATTCTTTCATCGCCGAAATCGAGCACGAACGCTCAAACCTTCGGAAGGAACTTCGCAAACACACCCACATCAATGAGGCATTTCAGAAAGAACTGCGGGAGATCGGCGAGATCATTACCCAGGTCGCCCATGGCGATCTTTCACAGCGGGCCCGCATGCACCCCCTCGAGATGTCACCTGACATCGCTACCTTCAAGCAGACGATCAATACAATGATGGATCAGTTGCAGGTTTTCAGTCAAGAGGTGTCGAAGGTGGCCAGGGAGGTCGGCACGGAGGGTGTGCTGGGTGGCCAGGCGAAGATCGAAGGCATTCAGGGAATTTGGCATGAATTGACCGTCAACGTGAATGCCATGGCCAACAATCTGACCACGCAAGTCCGCGATATTACCACCGTAACGACCGCGGTTGCCAAGGGTGATTTGCA